GCAGGGCCCGCGCCATGCGCCGTTGGCCCGCGTACCGCCAGACGAGGCGGGCGCGCTCCTCGGGCCGCTCGGCCCCGCCGCTCCGGAACAGGCTCCGCAGCTCTCGCAGCCCCACGCCCTGGAAGATGTTGGCCGAGGCCCGCTTGCGGGCGCGGGCTGCGGGCGCCGCCCGTCCCGGAGAGTCGCTCACCAACGAGGCCGGAGTGCCCATGGCCCTGGCCGCTGCGGGCACCGAACAGTCGGCGTCAGGCTGCGGTCTCGCCGCCCGGTCCGGTCCGCCTCCCCCGGGATCCGGCGCGGATGCCCAGTGAGGAAGGGGAGGCGTCGGGTTAAGGGCGGTCCGGGATGCCGGGCAGGGGGCCAGCCGCACAGGCGTTGCCGCCCGGGAACGCGGGAGACGCCCCGGCTCGGGCCGGGGCACGCAAGTCCGGTCCCGCCCTGCCCGGGGCGCTGGGCCCCGCCGTGACCCACTTTCGCTCCGACGCTGCCCCGCACCCACCGGCCCCTCGCACAGACCTGGCGGTGGCGACTCCGCCTGGTGCCCGCTGCGTTCCCGGACCCGCTTCGCGCCACCGCGCCGGGGTCCCGCCACAGCCGCGCGCCCCATTCATTCACCGCTGCGTGCCGGCCCCGCCCCCCGCGAATGCCCGCCCGCTTCCCGCTGCCACGGCCAATCGGCGCCGAGGGGCGCGGCTGCCCCCCTTCTCTAGGAGTCCACGTGGCAGATGACGTCACGGGCGGGGTGCGAGGCCTCGCCCCTGGGCGGGGCCCCGCCGCTCGGCACTCCGAAGGGAATCCCAGATGACGTAAGGGGAACCCCGGCGCGCGCCCCCCGCCGGCCGCCGCATGGGGTCCCGGTGCGCTGTCCCTGCGCCCCGCCGCCGGCATCGGTCGCCGTCTGCCACGTCCTCCCGCTGCCCCTCGCGCCCCGCGTTGTGGCCCGCCCTGGCCGCAGCGGGACGGGAGGGGCGCGGCGGCCCCTGCCCGACGGCGCATCCGCGGCGGCCCTCGGGTATCCGATGGGCTGGCGGGAGGTGCGGCGGGGCGCGGAGGCGGGGCGGAGAGGAGAGGAGAGAGGCCCCGCGCGGGGAGGACCTCTAAGTGCCAGATGTTTGGCAACAGCCAGGGAGGAAGTCGCTGCCGGGGCCCTGAGTCCCGCCCGAGCCGCGCCGGAGTAGGCAGGGCCGCGCCATGGCCCGCACGGCTCCCCCGACAGTGCCGCCGCCCCCGGGGCCGCCGGCCCGCGGCTCTCTCAGCCTCCATCGCGCCTTCCTGCGGAGCCCGCTGGGCCTGCTACGCCTGGGGCAGCTGGCTCTGGGCGCTGCCTTCTGGGTGACGGTAGCGGCTCATAAGTACGAGGGGGCGGCCCACTTCGCTCTGTTTGCCGCCGTCCTCGTCTGGCTCCTCACCCTGGCCCTCTTCGGGCTGAGCCTGCTGGGGCGCTGGGAGCTGGTGCCCTGGTTGGGCTCCCGCTGGCTCCTCACCAACCTGGTGCACGACCTGGCACTGGGTGTGGGGCTCTACGCAGCTGCCACCGGCATCATGGGTCACAAGGCCAAGCAGAGAAGCTTTTGCAACCTGCCGGGCTACAGCCAGCACTGCCTGTACAGTGCCTACCTGAGCGCCTCCATCTGCGGGGGCATCACTGCCTGCCTGTACCTCTTCTCCGGGCTCTACTGCCTGTTGCGGCGTTGCCAGGACCAGCGAGACATCATCTGACATCCCGTGCCACTTGGCTCCCCTTCTCAGCCGCAGACAGAACACAGCCTGTCTTTGGGATGAAATGACCCTGCCACCCAATCCCCTCCTGGCTGACTGCACTGCAATTCCTTCAGAGACTCCTGCACAGACAGATGGACAGACAGAGGCCTTCGCCGCGCACGGCTTCCCCTGCAGAGCACCGAGACAGCATGGACACCCAGCCACTGCACAGGCCCTTCTCCCAGCCCTGGACAGACATAGGCTACTGCAAGTGGAAGGACCCAAATGGAGAGCCCCTAAGAGGGATACCAATCTTTGGGAGCCCCCCTAGGACTCAAGCCAAAATCCCCTGGCCCTGGTCTTGCAGATGCTGCTTGCTCAGGTGGGTGCTGACTTTTCCCTGGGGTAGAGGGGGGACTGGCCTGGGGGAGCTGAGCTGGGGGCAGCAGTGCCTAGCGGAGTTGGATGGGCATAAACCCCCCTGACCTGCTGGCAGCCCCGTCTTGCCATTCCAGCTGCAAGGCGCCTCCACAATTCCCTAAGGGAGGCTCTGAACTTGGCTTCCCCAGCCTGGGCCCCTCCTTCTGTCTGGCCTGAAAACATCCTTGATCTTATTGGAGCCCCAAAGGGCTCAGCGCCTCCCTGCCCTGCACTCGAGGGGTGTAGAGATACCCAGTACTGCACAGCCAGATCCAGCATCACCCCAGTCCAGTTTGGAGGCTGAGCAGGGCATCAAGGCCTTCATTGCTGCACAGGGAGGGGAAGGACAAGGGGAGCTGTAACCTGTTCTGTGACCCTGGGCAGGGGGTAAATCCCTCAGCTGTGGAGTTTGTGCAGTCCTGGGATGGGGCCAGGTGCCCCAGAGGTTGAGGGGAGCCAGTCATGGGGTTGTTCTCTCCTCCTGCTGTCCCTGCAGAGAGGTTTGTGGCTCCAAGCCACCAGAGCCACTGAACCAGCCTTGGGGCCAGACTACTCCAAAAGGGACAGAAACAGCCTCGCTGATGGTTCTGGAGACCAGCCTGCAGCCCTCCCTGTCTCTGCCGCACTTGGTTTATCATCCTGGAAAATCTTCATCTCTGGACTCTGTGGGACTGGGCCTGGAGACTGTGGTGAGGTGGAGGGGAAGGGTGAGCACTGCAGCATGGAAGTCTGTGCTGGCACTCTGGCCATGGGGGAGCTGGGGCCAGGCATTGTGGGAGCACAACCTATCTTGGAGAACAGAAGAGGAGAACACTGGCACTGGAGCCAGCCCAGCCCTGGACCAGCCTCCAGAACCCACCAGGTGCCAAGCCCTGACGACGCCATGTAGGGCTGACTAGAGAAATGGGCACCTAGAGACAGAATTTTTGGAGCAGTGCCTCACTAGGGCTGCTCTGCCACAAGCCCTCCTCACCCTGCCTGGAGGCAGGTCTCTATTGCTCCCGGTTCAAGGGAGGGTCTGCTCCATTCTCGGTGTAGACTTAGATCAGTGAGATGGGTGTCCCCAGCAGCTGGCCACAGCTGCCTGTTCCCTGGGGTTCCCTGGCACCTTTTTTGAGGTGTAGAGGAGCAGCCATGGTTCAGCTGGGGCTTGAAGGGGTCTGGGATTGGTACTGGGTCACCATTTCCATCATGATGTGCTGTCCCAGTGCATACCCCATCATGCCCCAGGCCATGTACCCCTTCCTTGGGCAGGATATGCTGTCTGTGCCCTGTGTCAAGGCTGGTCCCTGACACCACCTGCCCCTGCCTTACTCTGGTGCAGCCCTTGGCCCAGGCCATCCAAAATGCCCTCGGTGCTTCTGCCACCACAAGTGCCTTCTGGCTTTCTGCAGCCCTGTCTGTCACACCAGCTCTATCCCCCCACAGCCTCCTTTCAGGTGCCAATGGATTCACCTTCCAAATAAAGCAATATTGGCGCTCACTGGGTATGTGGGGCTTTGTGCTGGAGCTGGGATCTGCTGGGTATGAGGTCTGAGCTGAGATCACACCCAGCTCTGTAGCCCTGCACCCTGGGGCCTCTCTGCTTGGAGTCTCTGGCCATAATCATGAAGTCCTGGCGTGCTCTGGGGTCACAGGGAGACTCCCTCATGCTGAGCCACTGCTCCTACTAGAGAGGCTTAAGCCTCTGCCCCTGGGGACAGGGGCTATCCCTGGCCCTGCTGCATGTCCAGAGACTGGGCACAGCCTGATGCTCGCATGGGGCTCTGGACAGAGCAGAGGAAGGCCAAGTGCCACGGCTTTGGTATGGGATGTACCGAGGACAGGATGTAGTTGCATTCCTAAGGGCTTCGTCACTTGGTGCTGAAAGGGCCCTCTGTCCCAGGGCCAGGGCACCATGGGCAGTCATGTACACACTGACTTGCCCCTTGGTGGGCCAGGGGCCAATGGAGGGCTGCCTGCATCTCCCCAGCCTGGCCGCAGCTCTGGGACACACTCTTGGGACAGAGGTGAGTCTGGGACCTGGACCTGCAGCTGGGGTGTCACTGGGTCCCCAGCCTTGTGCCTATGGGACACATGCCCTGTTCATCAGAGGCTGCAGGCAGTCGGCAGCAGCACTGTACCCTCATTGTCCAAGAGCCAGCACAGGGTTATAACGAAGTTACAACTTTTGGCATCAGACAGAATCCAGGATCCCCAGAGCATCTCTGGGAGCCAGCATCCCTGGTCTACTGCAAGCACCTTTTAGGACGGCCCATGGTGCCCTGAGCAGTGTGAGCAGGGCTGCAGGCTGCTGGGCAGGACAGTGCCAGTGCACCCAGGGCTGGGCTGCTTTGGGGGTATGGAGGGGCAGCGAATGAGCTGCCAGCCACGCTCAGGGCCTGTGGGGAACCTGCTGCTCCCCTCCAAGGATTCGGTGTGAGGCTGCCCCCCGGTCTCTCCGTGGGGAGAGGTGGCCCAGCAACCTCACGGGGACAAACCCACCGCGACCGTCACAGCTGGATGCAGGCCACGCCAAAACGCAGATTGGGACTGAGTCCTGGACCTGGACTAGACACGGATCAGTGCTCAGCCCTGGACTGGGACCGGATCCAGGCTGTGAGTGAGCCCTACACCACAGCAGACCCGAATCGGGACCGGGCCGGGTCCCGTGTCTAGACCGGGCTCACCGAGACTCCGCCCCGCGCCTCCCGCCCAGGGCGTGCCGGCCCGCAGGCCCCAGCAGGGCGGCGGGCACGCAGCGCGGGCGGAGCCGGGCGGGCCCGGAGCGCCGGGCGCGGCCCGTTCCCGTTCTCCGCGGGCGGGGCTCCCGGCGCGCCGCTCCCATTGGCCGCACGGAGCTCACGGCGCGCCCGCCGCGTCACGGGAGCGCGCGGCGGTGTCGGGCCGAGCGCGGCGGGGCCGCTCGATTCCCGGCCCCGGTCCCGTCATGCAGGCGGTGGAGCGGGACGGGGCGGCAGGCGGCCCCGAAGGGGCGGCGGGAGCTGCTGAGGCCCCGCCGGAGCCGTCGCCGCCCAAGGCCGCCGCTGCTTTCGACCTGCTGGAGCTGGTGCGGAGCTACCGGCGGCTGGAGCTCTACCTGGAGCCGCTGCGGGACGCCGCCGACGGTGTCCGCTCCCTCCTCCGGTAGGTGCGGGCTGGGCCAGGATCGAGACCGGGACCGTGCCCGGGTCTCATGTCCCTGGCCTTCCCCCTGTCGGCAGGTGGCAGCGGCCCGTGTGCTCTCTCCTGGTCTGCCTCGGCCTCAACTTCCTCCTGCTCACCCTCGGCCAAGGTGCGTCCCGGGGGTCGGGGCTGCTCCCGTTCCCGGACCCTCCGGGCTGACGCTGTCCCGCCTCTTCCAGCTGCCTGGTACTCGGTGCTCGCCCTGCTGGTGGCGGTGCCGGCCCTGCTGGGTTATCTGCAGGAGACGTGCCGGGCCCGGCCCTCGGAGCCGGAGCTGGTGCGCAGGAGGTACCACAGCATCCGCAGGGAGGATCTGCGCAAGGTGCAGCTCTCGCGGCAGGAGGCCATCGCCCAGGTCAAGAGCTTGTGAGTGCCTGGGGCCTCCCCAGCGCTGGGACTGTGGGGGGCCTCTGCAGCCACAAAGGCTTCTTGGAGGCTGTGCAGTTTGGTTGCAGTTTGGCTGCAGTTTGGCTGCTGTAACTCACGTGAATGTGGGGAACGAGGGTGTGTGTTTGTGGGTTTTTTTGTGACTGTCTCATTCGCAGCCTGATCCAGCTGGAGGGGTTTCTGAACGGGATGTGCTGCAGCTGTGAGGCAGTGTACCGTGTGCTGTACTGGGAGAATCCCACTGTCTCTTCCCAGTGAGTAGTACTGGGTCAGGCACCCTGTGGTGGGCTTGGTGGGGAGAGGGGCTCAGCCAGGCCTGTGGTGCTGTGTTTGATTTGTTTGGTACTTGGAGAGAACAGATGGAACACCAGATGAAGGAAGGAGTTTGTGCGTGAGTTGCACTGACTTGACCACAGTATCCTGCTGTTTTCCACAGGTTTTATGGGGCGCTACTGGGCACTATCTGTGTCCTCTACCTGCTGCCCCTCTGCTGGGTCCTGGCCATCCTCAATAGCACCCTCTTTCTGGGCAACACCCAGTTCTACCAAGGTATGACACCTGGCTGGAAGTGCCCTGTGTGGGATGGGCTGAGGAAAGGCCCTCTGAAGCCAGGGATCCTTCCCTGGACCTCTCCGTCACATGAGCCTACTGTCCCATGTCAGGCTCTGCCATAGACCCTGAACCCCCATGAAGGCAATGATGCCCTAGGGGTGGTGCTCAGCAGCCCAGGGTGGGTGGTATGCTCCTGGGGCTCAGCTGTTGGAGGTGAGAGTCTCCCCTGATTTGTGTTCCAGCCCAGGTGCCATTTCCTTCTCTGTGGTGTGGCAAACCAGGGTCTGTCAATGCAAGTTGTGTGTGAGCCTCTCCGTCTCTCTTGATCCCTGACCCTGCTCTTCAGGACTTCAAACACATTCAGTGCCTGTGGCAGTATATGACACAGGCTTGAAAACATGCCATTGGAAGGGAGAGGAGTCCTCTTCTGTGGCTCGTGTTGGAGGAGTGTTGGATGTGTCTGAGCTGTGATGTTGGCTCCTGCTGTTCCTTGTCCTGAGCTGAGCTGGGGCAGGTGGTGGTGGGGGGTGGGGGGGGGCTTCCTTTCTCTCCTGACTTTGATGTGTGAACAGAGGAGTGTGTCAATGCCCCACCTTGAACCTTGGAGATCAGGTCTTGCAGTTGGCTTTTGTGTGATGTCGCTGGGAGTAGGGAAATGCCACCCTACTCCAGCTGTATTTCCCTTTTTACCAGTGATAATGGAGCTCAAGGCCTCCATCGAGCAGTGTGTGGGCTCCAAACCCCTCGAGAGCACTCCAGAACCTGCTGAACCCCTGCCACCAGCTGCTGCCCCAGATCGGACCCCCACCCCCACCAGTGCAGAGGTGAGAGAGGGGCAGGCTGGCAGTTGTGGGGTGGAAGCTGCAGAGTCAGCCCTTGGGTCTGACTGTGCCTGTGTCCCTCTACACACAAACTTCTCCCAGCTGCCAGCTTTGCTGGAAGCCTGTGAGCTACTTCTGAGTTACTGGGCTGCTGCTCTGTGCCCTCGGGCTTGGCTCAGTCCTTTTGCCACATGTAAGGATGTGGTCTGAGGAGGCAGGGGCTCACCTCACCTTCTGACACTTGTGTCATTTGTGAGGCTGCCTGGGGCCAGATCCATTGTCCTGGAACCTACCCAGAAATGTGGGGCCACCTTTGAACAGAGGCAGGGGAACAGCAGGACTAGCTTTGTGAATCTCTTGTAGGACCTTACCCCTGGCAGTGTGGAGGAAGCAGAGGAGGCAGAACCTGATGAAGAGTTCAAAGATGCAATTGAGGTTTGAGGCTGGTTGGGGTGGGGCAGCTGAGGTGGGAAAGGGACAAAGACCTTGTTGGGCAAACTGGGTGCTCAGAGAGAGTGACTGTGGGGCTGGGTGCCTCTGACTCTGTGTGTGCTCACTCTCCTCTCTGTCCCATGCTGCGGGAGAAGGAGAACCAGCTGCTGGTCATGGTGAGTACTGCCATGCCAGGGTGTGGGATCTCCTCCCAGCTGGAGCTTTGCCTGGTTTGCTGGTGGCTTGTAGAAATGCCAGGTGCCGCACCCGGCTTGTCGGGTGCCTGCCTCTGGCGTGGGCTGCCCTGCAGCCCTCAGTGTGCCCCCAGCCTCCCTGCTGTGCTCAGCTGGCTCTGCTCTCTGCAGGAGGATGATGAGAGCTCTCAGTGCTCAGCAGATTTTGACCTCAGCCTCCCAGACAATGGTTTTATGAGCAAAAATGAGGTGATCCGCAGCAAGGTGTCCCGCCTGACCGAGCGCCTGCGCAAGCGCTACCCCAGCAACAACTTTGGTGAGTTTGGGAGCAGGTGCTGCTGGGGAGCTCAGCAGCCTGGGCTCTGTGCTGCTTCCAGTGGTGACCAGAGGACTGGGAGAGGGTGTGTGGTGCTTGCTAGGCTGTGCTGACACCTCCAGTGACCTTTTCCACTCTGTGTGGAGAACAGTCCCAGCACTCCGAGGAAGGGCAAGGATGGAAGGTGCAGCAGTGTCACCTCTGAGCTGAGCCTTTACAACAGCTGTAGATGTTCTTGTGCCACTTGCAGCCCCAGGCAGCAGAGCCCTGCCTGACCTCTGCTCTCTTTCTTTCAGGGAACTGCACGGGCTGTGCTGCCACCTTCTCTGTGCTCAAGAAGAGGGTGAGTCTTCAGCTTCTGTCCCAGCTTGCTGTCTGCACCTGGGGCGGAGGTGTTGCTCATGTCTGGCTTGCCCCAGCTTTCTCCAGCAGCTCAGGTGTCTGGCCTTGGTCACAGCCCAAATGACCTCAGCTAAATGCTGGGTGTTGTCACATGCCTAATGGCACCAGGGATCCCTTGTGTTGTACAGCATTTGTCCATTTACTCCTTTGGAAGCTGCCTCAGGCCAAACCCATGTGTTATTGTAGAAGGTACCTGCTCTGTGCCCTGGTTTAGTCCATTTCCTGTGGCCTTTGTGGTGAAGTAGAGCATGGGTCTGCTAGTGGGAATGACCTGTTGCCTTATCTGAGCCCTGTGTGCAATGCTTGGCACACAGTCTGTGGGCAGTTCTCAGAAGGAGGTATAGACTTTTGACCCCTTTCACTTATTCCTGGGTTAGTCTGATACCACGTCTGGGTCTCACCTCCATCTTTCTCTACAGCGGAGCTGCAGTAACTGTGGGAACAGCTTCTGCTCCAGGTGTTGTTCCTTCAAAGTCCCCAAGGCTGTGATGGGAGCCACGGGTGAGTTGAAAGGTGGAGGGAAGAGCTTCTGCTTCCCCCTGTTCTGTGTGCCCAGGCATTTGCCCCAGCCCTGGTGGGGAGGGTAGACAGGACGTGCCCATCACAGCCTGGCTCGGGACAGAGCAGTGATGAATTTGCAGCTCTTGAAGCAGCTCTGTGGCTGGGGTCCCTAGCCCATGGTGGGAAAGGGGGATCTGACATTTGCTTTCCTTTCCAGCCCCGGAGGCTCAGAAGGAGACAGTGTTTGTGTGCGCACTCTGCAACCAGGTGCTCATCAAGTGATGAAACAGGCCCAGCCAGCTCTTGTGTCCTGCACTGCCTGACACCTGGGACAGCGGGCAGGCACCCTTGCCACTGGGAGCCTGGAGTGTTTGGATCCCAGCATGGCATTCCCCTGCCAGAGGACGCTTGCACTTGTGCTCCTCCTGCCAGCGCCAGGCTGGACGGACCAGCCTTCCTTGCCATGCACCAGCTGGGTCACTGTGGTGGAGCACTGCCCACGGCTGTGCCCCATCCCTGCAGCTGCTCCAAGCCCTGGGTGCTCTCTGGCACTTGCTGTGCCCTGCCACGTGCTTGCCCAGGCCCTTTGGCCTGGCTCAGTGATGGAAGAGCCATCCTTCCTACTTGTGGTCCTGCCTTCACCTCCTGGCTGGGGCAGAACAACCTCAGGACTCTGTCCCTACCTTTCCCAGCACTGTGCTATAAGTGACTGTATTTTTGGGATCAATTCAGAGCTCCTCCTGCATCCCTTGGGGTCTAGACTGGCTCAGCTGAGATTCTGCTAGCCACTCCTGTGCTCCTCACCCTCACAGCCTGCAGGTTTAGTCTTTTACCCCTGAATTTGGCTGTAACCCGGAGGAGGAAAGAGAATGAGTTTGGATTGGGCTGTGTGGCTGGGTCTCCAGTGTGACAAAAGGCAGGAGTTGGTGCTGCTCTGTGCACTTAGTGACTGCTGCTTTCTACTACAGATTAATATATAAATGCATATAGAGAATGATCAATAAATCTCTTGTCCTCAGCTGGCTCTTGTGTCATACCAGTAAAAGCTGTCCCAGGCCCAGGTCACTCTGACACCTCTGTGGCTTTGGCCCTGCTATCCTGCAGGTGCTCCTGGACAAATGGTGTTCTGTGCCACCAGCTCTCCACGCTTTACTGGAATTCCCATCTTGTGTCCTGCTGTAGCCTTGTTTGCCCCCTGCTCAGAGCTGTGTGCAGCTGCCTGTCAGCTGTGCCAGGGCTGGATCCTGCTGGGCTGGAGCCAGGGAGCACCTCAGCTCTGACAGGAGCTACTGAGCTTCCTCTGCCTCCCGTGGCTGCTCCTTCCCCTGCCCTCCCCGGGTGCTGGTCCCACCAGCTGCCTGTGTGCACAAGGATGACCTTTCCTTGTGTGAACAGCAAAGCCCCCAGCTATCCCAGGAATGTGACCCTGGCTGCTGTGCAGCTGGGAACAGCCGTGGCCTGGGTCCCTGCCAGCCAGCTGCAGCTTCCCCCAAGCCAGGGAATCTGGGGGGTCGGTGCCCACCAGGCTGTGACACCCACTAGTCTGAGAAGTTGCTGGAACCCAGACCCTGCTGCAAGCTCCACATCCCACCAGTGTGGGAGATCCTGTGTGGCAGGCAGCCTCAACACTTAGCTTGGCTGTGGGCTCATAAACTCCTTTGCATGGAAATTTGGAGAAAATCTGGACTTGGCATTTGATGATGAGGGTGTCTGGCTTGTGCTGGGTGTGCAGGGGAGTGGTGTGCAGAGGGCTGAGCAGTGGGGGCAGTGGAGCAGCTGTAACATTGGGAAGGGGGCTGTGTAGCACCACAAGAGCTGTGGGTGTGTTTGTGAGGGTGTCTGCAATGGGGTATTACTGGGCTGTGAGGGACTGTGAGGGGTCAGCTTGATGAGACAGCTGACAGTGGGAGGCAGAGGAGCCACTCATTTTCTAGAGAAAACACTTGGAGCAGTGAGCACTATGGCCATGTATGTCTGAACACTCTCTGGGAAGATGCTAATGACACAGAATACAGAGGGCTACAGATAAACTTAGGCTGTGGGAGATGGGGTTTTATTTATGCTTTTTAAGTTTTGCAATAAAATGTAATTGACAGTGTTTATTCCTATGAAAGTGTGCTCGCAGTCAAGCTCTGAACAAACCTATAATTTTGAATTTTTTCCCCCTTTTTATTTTTCCCCAGGGAGGAGTGCCCATTTCTGGTGCAAGGCTGGGGCAGGGGCTGGTTGCCCCATGTTCCTGGCTGGCTGTGGGGCCAGAGTGGGAGATTTGGGGCTCTGGAGGCTGACCAGTGGGGCCAAGGCCATGCCCAAGGAGGGCAGAGGGAGAAGAGGTCAGCCCAGAGCAGGGCAGGTGCACAGTGCTCTTGTCAGCCAGAAGAGGGTGGGTGCAGACATCCTGCAGCCTCAATTTCCTTCTTGTCCCAGGAGCTCCCTGAGGCTGGTCAGCTCTGAAGAGAAGGCAGTGTCAGGCAGGCAGGCACTGGGGGAATGTCCTGGCAGCACCTTGGGCCCCCTCACCCTTTGGGATGGGTGGATACCAGTGTGCACTGCAGGAATGATGGGGTCCCTAAAGCTGCCCTCTGCCAGCTGGGACTGGGGGGGCAACTGGGGGAGTCCAGCTGAGCTAAGGCACAGCCCCTGCTGCCCTCAGGGCTGGGCTGAGGGCTGCCCTGCTCCTCGGGGTTTTGGGAAGGTGCCGGCTTTTGCAGGTGGGTGGCCCTAGGAATCATTTTGGAGGAGGCTGGAGGCTGTGGCATGGGAGGTCTGGCAGCCGAGCAGGGCTGGCAGGGAGCTGCAGAGAGGACTTTCAGATGGTATGGTGTGGGGAGGATGGGGTTGGAGGCTGCCTGGTCCAGTATCTGCCCCCTTTGATGCTCAGTGCCAGGATTCTCACAAGTGCTGTGAGCTCTCAGACCATGGATTTATCCCCTGGGGTGACAAAGGAAGAAACTTCCCTGGCAAACCACAGCCAAACCCAGCTGTGAGGCTCCAGCAGCAGTGATGGCCCTGTCCCCCCATCCTACTCATCCCAATGCCCTCCCAGGCTCCCTGGAGTGGCAGGGGTGCCTGAGTCTCCAGGGATGTCTGTGACCACCAGGAACCACATCCCTTGGCTTGGCTGGACTGCCCAGGCTCAGGCTCTGGGCACAGCACCTGGAGTGGGACTAGAGCCAGATCCTGAGGTGACCTCTCTCTCTCAGGCTGCCTCACTCAGTGGGCAGGACTGGGACCCCCCCTCCCAATCTTCTGGGGTGCCTGAGGGAACCCCACGGGGCTCATACCCACGAGCTGCAGTGAGTGGCACACAGACTTCTCCGAGCTGGAATAATTTACTGTGGTGTTGGTGGGCGAGGGGTGCGTGGCTGGGTCACAGCAGGGTGTGTGCAAGGGATGCAGCAGGGCTGCTCTGGGGCACTTGGAGGTGTGAGCCCTGTGCTATGGGGAGTGGGGGAGCCCAGGAAGGGTTTGTGCAGCTCTGGCCACTGGGTCTGGAGGGAGTCAGTCAGTGGGAACAGAGGGGCAAGAGGGACCTGCCTGGGCTGGATCTCTGGAAGGTGAGATAATCCAGGGCTGGATGTGAGCTCCAGGTGAGGGGATGGGATGTGTTGGTGGGCTGGAACAGGGACTGGGGGGGCTGAGGGTCTGTGGCATATCATGAGGGAGCTGGGCAAAGGACATGGCTGCAGGGGAGGGGTCCCAGGTGTAGCCAAGGAGGTCAAGCAAGGATCCTAAATGAAAGCAAGGGTCTCTGGGCTTCTGGGTGGGGAACCTGGGAGTAGACAAGGGTGTCCAGTACAGACTGGGGCTCACAAGCATGCAGAACAAGGGTCCTGGGTCCAGACTAAGGTCCTGGACAGGGGTGAGGGTCCTGGGAGCAGAACAGGGATCCCAGGGGCGCAGAGTAGGGGTCTTGGGAAGAGGCAGGTGTCCTGGCTGTGGATCAGGGCTCCCACAAATGCAGCAGGGAATCCTGCAGGTGCACAGCTGGGTTCTGGGGCACAGCCAAGGGCCTGAGGTGAGCAGGGCTGAGGTCCTGGGGTGCAGCCAGAGAAGCCAGGGGTGGGATGTTGGGCCAGTGCAGGAGTTCTGGGAAAGGGCAGGGTGGGCAAAAAGCCCTAGTGCTGCCCAGCCCCATAGAGCAGGGGATGGTAGAGCGGGCAGGGGTAGGAGAACATGAACTTGACTGCAAACTTCATCTCCTTGTTGTGCTTCTGCCAGGGGTAGATGGCCAGGAGGAGCAGGCGGCCGCCCACCTTGCGGCCCATGACCAGGAAGCTGCCGCTGAGGCTGTCGAGCTGGGGGCAGGGGCAGGTACCCGCGTTCCTCATGTGCAGCACCATCTTCTTGGTGTCCTTGCGCTTCAGCGGGCCCAGTTTCAGCACCTTCTTCTTCTGGGCAGCCACCAGCCGGCGCTCCCCGTTCTCCTCCGTCACCTCCTTGATGCGCATTTTCACCACTGTGTGGGGCAGCGGGGTACGGTTGGGGCAGGGAGGGAGGGAGCACGGCTGGATGCTGGGGAGGGGAGGGCCTGGGCCGGGCACCTGGGCAGGACAGGGTGCAGCCCACCCCTGGGTTGGGTCTCTGGGGAAGTTACGGGGTGAGGAGGGGAAAGGGGTTTGGGGAGGGTCCAGCAGACGCCCCCAGTGACCCTCCCAGATGTCTTCTCCCCTATCCCCCACCAATGTGTGGTGCACCCATCCCAGGCATGAAGGGTCCAAGGGAATGGCTCAGGGGTCTCCCAGGGGCTGTCCCCATACAACCCCACCCTCTGGCCAAATCCCACCCCAGCTGCCAGACCTAGGGGAGGCAAAGCCTTGTCCAGGGGGGCTGGTAAGGAGACCCCAGCACTCACCAAAGTCACTGGAGCACATCTGCTCCATCATGCCATCCGCCTTGTGCTCCATCTCACACTGGGTGCAGATCTTGGACACTGTGGTGAGAGACCAGTTAGTGTCACAGCTTCATGCTGCTGGTACTTGTCACCAGGGCCAGCTGCTCGGGGACACGCTTGGGAGAGCCCCAGCAGCTCCTCTGCTCCCTAGGTAGCTGTGCTGGGGTGATGCAGAGAGGCACAGAGCACCTTGCTGGCCAGGGTCACTCCCCAGGAGGGGAGGAGATATGGGGACACCCTCCCATCAGATGCTGGCACTTTGAAGCACAGCAGCAGTGAGGGTGGTCCCAGCCTAAGGCTGTCACAGCCCTGACCCTGAGCCTAGGCTGCCTTTGGGTGATGTCCCCTCTCGGGGCTGAGGGGACAGCCACCCTGTAGCAGCAGTGTGGGGCTGACACCGCAGGTGCAGCATGCTCTCTCCTGCTGACATGGGACCCAGTGGCGGCAGAGGGACACAGCACTGCGGTGGATCGGCCAGCAGCTCCCACCTCATCCCCTGTTCTTCCTCATCCCGGGACAGCTCTATGCAGGCAGCTGGGAGCACAGTGCTTCTGGGCAATAGTGCCAAGACAAAGCTGATCCTGTGCCCCCTCCTGCCCTGTTACACAAGAGTCCTTGGCCAGCACTGGTGTCCTGGGCTGTGCTCTGAGGGGTGAAGGGACACCTGTGCAGGGGCTCCACATGCATTCCCAGCCCACTACAGTACCCTTCCCACTTACCTGGCGGCGGCGTGGCTTTGCTGTTCCCAAACTGGACGGCGATGCAGAGCTCGTGGTCAGAGGGGAACTTGCCACAGTGCAGCATCTCAGGCCAGGGGAAGCCATAGGACTCCATGACGGGGGCACAGGAGTCCCGTACCACCTCGCAGAGGGAGCGGCAGGGATACACGGGCCGGTCAAGGCACACGGGGGCGAAGAGGGAGCAGAGGAAGAGCTGGGTGTCGGTGTGGCACTGCTTGGCGAGCAGGGGCACCCAGCTGCCGGCCTGCTGCTTGGCTTCGGCCATGGTCTCGTGCTCCAGCAGGTTGGGCAGCCGCATGCGCTTGTAGCCCACGTCGCGGCAGAGCTGCATGTCGGCCGGGATGTCGAGGCACTGCGGCTCCCGCCCGTAGAAGCGCCCGTGGGGCAGGCTCTCGGGCTGCCAGCCGTAGTAGTCGTAGTGCTGCCCGCCGCCCAGGGACCCCGCCAGCACCAGCGACAGGGCCAGCAGCGCCGTGCCCCGGGAGCGCGGGTGGGTGCCCGCCTGCGGCATCGCCGCTGCGCGCCCGCCGCTGCCGGCCGCGGCTGCCGAGCGGGACGGGAGCGTGGCTCGGCACCCTGCCTGCTCCCTTAGCGCCTCCCACGCCCGCTGCCCTTTCTAAGGAGGTTGGAGACCTCGCCGGCAGCCAATCTGCTCTGCCTGCCGGGCCCCCCGGGGCTGGCCCCCGGCTCCCCCTAGCTTGCCCGCACCGCTGCCACCTCCCTCCCTCCCTCCCTCCTTCCCTCCTTGGCACATGGTGCTCCAGTGCCCCTCGCCCTCCCAGGGAGCCCCCCTGCATGCACCCCCCAGCCCACTCTGCTCTGTGTGCCCCCTGCGTGATGCTTTCTAGAAGGGCTGGCTTGCCTGTCCATGGCGAGGTGTTGTGGGTACAAGTTGTCCCCATTATTCATATCAGTCCTGCTGCCCCCATCCCACCTGGCACCCCAGTGGCATGTTCTGCCTTGGGGCAGGGGATCCTGCTTCCTACCCTGTGCCACACTACTCCCCACTCTTTTCTCCCAAGACTATGCGTGGGGTGCTGGGGTTTAAGGAAGAGGACACCCCAGAAGCTTCATGCTGCAGCCCTGGGAGGGCTCCTGTACCCAGGTGCCAGGTGTGCCATCAATGAGGCAGTGCCATGGGCATGGGGTCCTTATTCTCATGGATGGTTCTGCCAGCATGTACCTTGGGCAGTGCATGGTCTGCTCGCACAGGACAGCTGGGATTACACCTTCCAGCAAAGGGCCTGCACCCAGGCTCTGCCAGTGCTCAGGGTGTGGGCAAAGCTAGAGCCCAAATGACATGAGGGTCCTGCCCAGATGACATTCCCCCATTCCCTTGGAGATGGGGGGTGCAAGGCTTAAGACCCCATTAGAAACCCATTTGTCTGCAGGGGTTATCTGGGCCACCCCTCCCTTTCCCATGATCGATGCCCCTGCCTGGCCAGCGGGCTTTGGGCCACCGGATAAGGCAGCTCTGTTAATGGGCTGAGAGAGCAAACAGTCCAGTGCAGGCAGTGATAGCAGCTGCTCTTTGCCCTGGGCTGGGGGCAGGGACTGTCCCCCCAACCCTGCTGGGGTACTGCTTTGGGACAATGCTGGGAACCTCAGCTGCACAACTTGCCCTTCCCTGTAGCCTTCCCACCCTGCCCATGCCCTCTGTGCTCAGCAGCCGTCACTGCATCACCCAGTGCTGCTTGCTTCCAGCCCGAGGGTGGGCTGGGTTCATCCCACCCAGCCCGGAGATGGCACCATTAATGTGTAACTGCCGGGGAGCCCGATAAGATACAGCAGCCTCTTATCAGGGCTGCCTGGTAGCAGGAGGGAGGGTGATCGAGGCATCAGGCTGTCACGGCAGGAGTAAGATTGTCTGGAGATAAATGCTGATAGAAAATAGCTAATCCGTGATGGATGGGCTTGGGCAGGGTGTAATTGCCATGGGAGCTGGGCTGGGAAGGGGCTGGTGAGGCCTGGGAGCAGAGGCAGAGGGAGGCCGGGTGTGCAGGGTGGAGCTGCCAGAGTGCTGATACTGAGCACAGTCGTGGGTGTGCCATGTCCCTGGGCTGTTCCTGTGGCACTGCCAGCACTGTCCTGCTCTTGACCATGGACCAGCTCCTGGCTCTCAGCCTGCCACATCCCACAGCCCAGTCTGGCCTCTACATCCCCAGTTCCTCCCAGGAAGGTGTTGGGGGTGCTGAGCCCTCTGTGCCAGCTGGCACCACATCAGATGAAGGTGAGGGGGCTGGCGAGGCTGGGGCTGAGCAAGGGTCTCCCTGCCAGCTGCCCCAGGCCCTTCATCTGCCATGACGCCTTCATTAGAGCCCTGAGTCACCTCCTGGCTGTGCTGTGGGGAGCAGGGCTGCCCCACAAGAGCGGTGTCTGCCCCCCGTGGGTGTCCTGGCAGCCTTACCTTGAGCTGAGTCTGTGCCTCTGCTCTGGGGAGCCCCTGCTGCACTCGCGTTGCTTCCTTAACCCTTTCCCACCCAGGATGTCCCAGGCTGATCTGGGCTGTACCCTGGAGAAGGGGATGGACCCAAGACTGGCACCCTTCCCTGCGCCTTGTCTGCTCAGGCTGCTCCGGTGCCCACATGTCCGTTCTGCAGCCATGCAGCTGTCTGGGAGATAGACACTTGCTCCTGTCACTCCAGAAAGCTGGCTGTGCCACCGCTCGTGTCACTGCCTGTGCCACTGTCACAGCAGCGAGTCAGGAAGCGGGGCCATGGGGGCTGCCCCCTCTGCGGTGGGGACCTCGGGGACGGCCAGCCAGGGTGACACAGTAAGAGCACATCACCTGGGGGGCTCCCTCGACACTCCCGACCCTCCCTGGGGGGACCCGTGCCTGGCTGTAGCACGGACCAGGTCCTGTAGCAGGGAAGGGAGGCCCCCAGGAAAGGAGCAGCTGAGCACGGTCCCGGCCGCCTCCTTCCATCCTTGTGTCCCACCCACTTTTCTGCCGCAGCTTTGGGTGCTACCGACCTTGTTTCTGTCAGCAGAGATGCATCCCCAGGGACTGGGTGGGTGGGCTGAGTGGGCTACCTCTCATCCTCCTCTTTTCCCACCCCCTCGCCCTTCCTGCCCCAGTCCCGCACGGGTTCCTGGGCTGCACCCAGTGTGGAGCAGGGGCCTTTGGGAGAGGCAGCGCACCGGGGCTGGCCATGCCGAGTCCCAGGAGGGGGCGGCACGCTGGCATTTCCCTGCACAGCAGCTCCCGGGAGAGCAGCCTGGCCGGGGGCAATGCTGGGCCGGCAGCACGGCTCGGGCGGGTGGTCCCGCCTGGCAGCGGCCGCGGGAGGCTGGGGCATGACCGGGGACACCGCGGGGCCGAGGCTGCCCGGGTGATGTGGCACGGCCGGGGCGGGCAGCGGGCGGGTCAGCGATCGCCGTGCACTTGCCCTGCGCCCACACACGCTCCCGCTGCCCGGCAGCCCCAGGAATGTGCTGGCAGCGCTCCCGGCCCAGCTGCGGAGCCCAGACTGCCCCGGCGCCCTCCCAGCCCCCAGCCAGCACCTCCCGGCCCTGCCCAGTTCCTGCCAGCTCGCACACAGACCCTCCCTGTTCGCGGCCGGACACCCCGATCCCGGCCCCCGGCGTTCGGTCCCACTCAGCAGGGCAGGGAGGGGGCACGTCGCATGTGCAGACCCTCTGAGGAGGGGTCCCTTTCCCTCACAGCGTGGCACCATGCGTGGGGACCTGCTCTGCAGTGCTGTTTGTCCCTCCCCGCCCCACCACGTCTGCTCCCACCACAGCCCCATGCCCGGTGGGGGAGCAATCCTCGCACAGTCCCTGCTCCCAGCCGGCTCCTTGGCTAGTGGCAGACCTTGGCACCTTGCTCTGAAACCACATCCTCCTCTGCTGCCCGTGTGCAGGAGGATGCTGTGTCTCCCAGCATGTGGACTCTGTGGGATGTGCTGGGGGGCTGCCCAAACTCTCTGTGGGGGCTCCCAGTGCAATGAGGGTCCTGGAACCACCCCTCAGATGGACACAGCTGGGCTGCAGGTGCCACAGAGGGGTGTCCACACTCAGGGTGCCCAGTCTGTAGGGTCAGTTGGTGCCCGTTTGGGGCACTCTCCTTGTCCTGTGTGAAGGGGCAGGCTGGGGCATTTGGAGCTGTTTTTCAGAGGCTCACAGTGTGGGGGCCTCGTCCCCCTCCCTTTTCCCTCCCAGGTGCACACACCTGGGATCTCTCAGGAAAGGTTATCAGCTAATCACGCTGTGTTTGTGCCTCCCAAATGTCACCGTTGTCCTCGCTGGGACTGTGAGCTCATGCTCCCCACCATTACTGAAAGCACTTCCAGTGCTAGGAGAAGCAGCTGCCATGCCCTTCTGTGGCCCCTTTGAAGCAGAGTTGGAGCTGCTGACAGCTCTGACAGGCTGGAGAGGGGTTCAGCAGGCAGTGGGTGCAGGATGGAGCCACAGGGGTTGATCCCAGACTGGTTGCAGGGCTCCAGCTGTCCTCCATGGGCCCTGGTCATCCTTGTACTGCAGGGAGGGTTGAGATGCTGGGATGAGGTGCAGCACCATGCACCCAGAGACACACAGGGGACACCCCCTGGTCCTGGGCTGGGAGTCAAGTGCAGGGCTTGGAGCAGGGGCACTGCTGGGCCATGCCTGCTGTGGTGTGATGGGCACATTGCCTGCTGAGGGCTGGCCAGAGGGGTACCAAGTGTGCCCCATGTCTGTCCCATGGGGCCAGGGCCAGGGCCTCTGGGAGGTCAGCCAGGGCCGAGGGCAAGGAGAGATCTGTGGGGTCTGTCTGCAAGACAGGTCAGAGCTGCCCACCCCAGGTGCACGGGAGGAGCCAGGCAGGGGAGTAAAGGCAGCTCTGGCATCAGCCATGCCTATCCCTGCTGCTGGGCAGCCTGAAAAATCACCCCTTTGGGCTGAGCAGAGGGAGCAGAAGGGTGAGAGCCCTGCCAGGATCCCTCACAGTGCAGTGGTCTGGGGAGGGCAGCAGGGCCATGCACCACATTGAGGCTACCCTGAGCCCCTGCTGTCCCTGCTGCTACCTCCTGGGCAGTACGGCTGGCAAAAGGCAGCTCCCTGTGGTGGGGGGATGTCCCACCAAAGGATGGGACATGCACATGCAGACAGCAGGTCCATGGCCTGTGAGGCACATGGGGCCCAGAACCAAAAGTTCTTTGCTTGGGCTGGGTTGGTGTAGCCAGAGGAGACAACCCTGGGGCAACACTACAGGATGTGGGATGATGGGCAGAGCCTGGGATGGCAGGGAGAGCACCCCCCGGCTGCTCCTGGCCCCTCACTGCAGCAGAGGAGAGCAAACTCCATCTCCTGGCAGGCACAGCATTGCCATGGCAACCGGCGGGACCTGCCAGGCGGGCAGGCCAGCACTGACGTGGCAGTGGCATGCAGCACAGGAAGGAGATGGCAGGCAGGGGCTGGGGACATCTGGGGACAGGCTTAGGTGTGTGAGCACACTGCATGTGCACCTGGGTGGGCACCTGAGTGCATGCACGAGTGCCTGTGCCAATGTGCATGCACGTGTCTGGGTGCATG